GTGGACTCTTCCAGGGAAAAGTGGAAGCAATGTCCCAGCACGTGAATTCCATTTCACCATACTCCTCAAAAGAGTAAGAAAGCGTAGAGCAGCAATTCCATGGGTTGCTGTTGCTCAGACATAGGCCATAGTCCTCCAAAATGAACAGAGTTATATGTTCATTAAAACATTTCCAAGGTCGTGTGTGGTGGTTCATGCCTGTAGTCCCAGCACTTTGAGAGGCTAAGGCAGGCAATTCGTTTGAGCCCAGGAGTTCAAGATCAGCCTAGACAACATGGCAAGACTTTGTCTCCTCAAAAATAAAAAATAAACTTAGCCAGTAACAATATAACAGCTTGTACCTGTAGTCCCAGCCACTCAGGAGGCTGAGGTGGGAGGATTGCTTGAGCACAGGAGGTTGAAGCTGCATCAGCCATGATCATGTCACTGCGCTTCAGCCTGGGCAACAGAGCAAGACTCTCTCTCAGAAAAAATAAATAAATGCCAAAATCTGACTTATGCTACAACATGACACGGCAAAACTGATATTTGCTGAAAGCCAGTATTAGAAAATACATTATTATGTTACTTCCAAGAGATCGGTAAACTACATCCTTAGCTCGCAAAGGAATTTTTAGCACATAATCTGTCTTAAATGAATACCATGTTGAGTATATAATTTTTAAAAGGAAACACACAAAAAGTATTATGAAGATGTCTACTATCTATCGTAACTTGTATTAAGTAACTTCTTTAAGTAATTTGTTTACTGGTATTTATCAAAAAACTTGTTTACTTCCAAATTTCACTAGCATGCCAAAATCACTAACTAAAACTATGCATGTCAGAGTGACTGGTGGCCTGTCTGACTCACTTCCCTTCACCAGGTGGGATAAAGCACACTAATTGGTGACCCAGAATAATTATATCTGCAGTAGTCCCTCTCTATCCCTCAGGATATGTTCCAGGACCCCGACTGGATGCCTGAAACCATGGCAGTACCATTCTTGTAGATTCTGTTTTTCCTACACATACATACCTATGGTAAAATTTAACTCATAAATTGGATCCAATAAGAGATGAACAAGAATAGAATAGAATAATAATAGACTATGATAAGAGTTATGTGAATGTATTCTTTCTTTTCTCAAAATATTATTATACTGTACTGTGGGTAACTGAAACTGCAAAAACTGAAACCACAAATGAGAGGACTACTGTATTAGCAGAGCCATGCCCAGGGCTCCGTGTAACATCCAAATACAATATAAAATATATTTTTGGAGGGATATATATGAAAATATTAATAGTAGCTATCCCTAGGTGTTCGAATTGCTGCTTATAATGGCTGTTTTTTAAAAATCTCCTTTGTATTTCTATATTTTAACAATCCTTTTGTAACAATTTTTTTTTAATTTCCATAGGTTATTGGGGAACAGGTAGTTTTTGGTTACATGAGTAATGTTCTTTATCGGTGATTTGTGAGATTTTGGTGCACCCATTACCCAAAGAGTATACACTGCACCCTATTTGTAGTCTTCTATCCCTCACCTCCTTTCCACCGTTTCCTCCTGAGTCCCAAAACTCCATTCTGTCATTTTTATGGCTTTGCATCCTTATAGTTTAGCTCCCACTTATGATTGAGATCACGTGGTGTTTGGGTTTCCATTCCTGAGTTTACTTCACTTAGAATAATAGTCTCCAATCCCACCCAGGTTGCTGCAAATGCCATTAATTCATTCCTTTTTATGGATGAGTAGCATTCCAATCATATATATATATATATTTTATCCACATATATATATGATGGAATATATATATGTAAATACATATATATTCACATATATGATGGAATATATATTCACATATATGTATATGTATATGTGTGTGTATATACATACATATATACCTTTCTCACACAGATTTTTTATCCACTCATTGATTGATGGGCATTTGGATTGGTTCCACATTTTTGCAGTTATGAATTGTGCTGCTATAAACATATGCGTGCGAGGATCCAAGATGGCCGTTTAGGAACAGCTCAGGATTGCAGCTCCCAGTGAAAGCGCAGAGGGTGAGTGGACGCCGCATTTTTATTGCCCACAGACTAGGAAATTCCCAGGCGGAGGTGCTCTACGGTCGCCAGCGCGGCTGTTTCGGCCAGCGCGGCTGTGCCGGCCGGCGTCACTGCTTTGCCCCGCGCGGCTGCTTTGTCGGCGCCCCGGAGCCGCGGTTCTCCGTACAAAATACACCGGTCCGGGTGCCCTTTTGGCTGGCGATTGGAGCCACGGGAAGTCACCCATTCACCGGTTCAAAAAGGGGACTGAGCAGAGAACCAGGACAGCAGATTCCAGGGCAAAAAAAAAAAAAAAGTGCCACAAACCTCAGTGCCTCTGTTTAAGCCAGCACAGTGAGTGGCCGCAGGGGAAAACAAACAGACCCCGGCCCCTCTTCAACAGGCGACTGGAACACCAACTTAAAAAAGGCTCTGAGGCAGGGAGCCAGGCGATCCGGCTCGGCTGGTCCCACCCCCACAAAAGAACAGCAACCAGAAACTCTGGATTGAGACTTTCACAGCAAGCGCAGCTGAACCCGGGACGGTCCAGCCCTGTGGGGGAGGGGCGTCCGCCATTACCGAGGCAGCCCGCCATGACCGAGGTAGTCGGCCAATGCTGAGGCAGCCCGCCGTTGCCAAGGCAACCCGCCATTGAGGAGGCAGCCCGCCGTTGCCAAGGCAATCCGCCATTGCTGAGGCAGCCTGCCGTTGCCGAGGCAACCCACCACAGGAGAGAGACTCCGCCTCAACAAAGGCGGGCCACCATCGCCAAAGCAGTTCTAACTATACCCATATAAACAGGACTACAGGGAAGTTCACTCGGCAGCGGGGCGGAGCCCACAGCAGCTCAGCAAAGCTGCTATAGGCCGACAGTGACTAGGCTGCCTCCTTGCTGTGTTGGGCAGGTCTGAAGGAAAAAAAAAGAAAAAAGAAGGCAGCAGCATCACAGAAACTCATAAATAAAGCCCTAAATCCCTGGGACAGAGCACCTGGGAACAAAAAGCAGTTTATGAGTTCTGCTGCAGCAAACCTAAACGTACCTGCCCAGCAGCTCTGAATGAACAACAACAGAGCACACAGCTCACCATTTGAGCTCCTATAAAGAAGAGACCATCTCCTCAAGCAGCTCCCTGACCCCTGTATATCCAAAGAGACACCTCATAAAAGAGAGATCAGATTGACACTAGGCGGGTATCCTTCT